GTTATGGTTCCCGGCGCGCATTCAATTAACAAGCATGATGCCTGCCGCCTCCATATTCTGGGTGTCAAATATGTTTGGGCGAAAATAATTAGCCACATGGGAAGGGCGCGGGCAACCAGCAGTTCCCATGACAGTGTGCCTAATTGCCGAGTACGTGTCACGCCAAGAATCAAGAACACTGCAATTCAGGCAAACTGCGAGTTCCAGTAGGTAATTGAGAAAAAGAATAAGATTCGATCGCTGGGACAACATTATTATTCGCTTGACTTTTCGACCTTCGTCGCGGATTCTTCATCATCCACCGAAATTCTCGCAAGAGGTGATAACCATGTGAACCGAGGATTAATTGAGTCATGGTTTACGGTTCCCCAGTCCATAAACAAGTGCAACCACCTACCCAATCCATATTTGGTGCTGAGGCTCAATTTGGCCGAAGCAAGCGGCCACTTGGGAAACACACAGGCCACCGCGTCGACTTACGTCAACACCGGCGAACCAGATGGCCAAGTAATCATCACATCCAATTCCACTACGCGGGATGTAAGTTTAGCAGGTCACGGCCCACATGCCGATTATCAACCAATCCACGCCCAAGAGGCAATTATCGTTAATTTTTGTTACTTGTCATACATGTGCAATAATAACTGTGCCCTGTAGATACTGCAACTTCCTGTGCATGTATCGCCCGTTTCTGACGAAGAATCTATGACGGAGGTCGAAATGACGGATGAATAAGTGTTGTCTCACTAATCAAATCTTCCTCTTCTCAATCAACAACACTAGTGAAATCACAACTATTAACGACTCGGACACGGACCGACAAGCGGTCATCGCATCAAATACGACCCCCAGCTGTGAGCACCATTGTTGCGAATTATTTTAGGTATGGGATGGCCAGACAACTGCGCCCTCTAAATAAACGCTCATTGTGTCTCAATCACCCTTTTCTGCGACAATTCCTAAGGTGGCTTTGTGAGAGAACCCTAAACGTCGGACAAAAAGTTCATACGCCAACGAATGCATAATCTTCTTGCGAACTGCTTTCTGGAACTCGCTTGTTGACTCTTATCGGAAACAACATCAATTATAAGAAGTGCCTAATATATGACCCTGACTGATGTGTGCACAGTTGTGTAGACCCGATTGCGCAATTACTTGCGCACAGCGTTCAGTGAGCCCGAAGTCTAAATGATACCGAGTAATGCTGGCCTTTAGAGAATATTCAATCATCTTGTTAAGGACCATGGTCAGCTTCGGCTCGGTCAGCCTCAACAGCCTGATTGTCGAGTAGGGAATACCTCCCTGTTTGTGAGAAAGGGGGTGATTTGCTAAGCCGTATCAATCTGGCCTTTCGAACTCAGGCAAACGTCGCATCCGTGGGGTGCAATCAAGCTCTCCTCTCATGGGACTAAAGGGCATGTACTAAAGCAGTATAATCCCTATGTGAAGCGGGAGGTGGGAAAAAAGCAGAGAGAAGGCCTCCCTGAATTCAGACTGTCACACCCCTATACTGCTGCATTGCCTTATCATTATTAGATTGGATGTTATAACGGTAGCGATTAGTGCGTTTGATTTATATCAGGTTAATATAGCGATAGTAAATGTCTGTTCCTACCTGTGGTCCGAAATCAACAGGTTCCCCGAAGTCCTTCGGTTTGAAGCCTCCACTGAACAAACATTTATCCCTGTTGGGCAATGGAAACTTAGTTGAAACCGGGGAATCCACTAGGAATGTTCAAGTCAACAATAAGCTGTTCTCAGAATTCATCGGAATTTGCATGCAGCGAATGTTTAGTGGCAGAAAGGAAGTGATTTTCGGTGTTTCCTACGACTGGGACGTGCAATCTGAATGAAGGTGGGAATAGAGGTAACTTGATTTGCCTGCATGTAAATAATCCGAGGGCAGCTGCTACTGGACCTACTGGTCATCATAATTGTGCCTCCTAAATGAGCCGCGTTCAAGATGCGCTGGACCAGCATGAGGACCAGTTCAGGGCACATGGGGCGTTATTCGAGTTGCGCTCCCATAGCAAGTGCTAAACGTGGGGGAGGGGCGTGGTAGCAGATGTACATGCAGGTTCACGCCACACCAGTCAGCTGCACCTGATCCTTCCTCTGATTTTCTTGACTCTAGCTTAACACAGGGCACAGCTGAATGAGGACAGAGAGAGTTTGGTAGATGCACCGCAAGTCTGCTACTACTGATCCACACGCAAGTCACTGTCCCTGAAAATCATATTGTGGAGTACACAGCGGACCTCTTCAGATTACGACAGTCGAATTGCCGGTTCTCGTAATTAGCACTAAACGTATGAGTCATGTTGCCGATAGAAGCGAATAGGCGAGTTCCAGTAAGCACTTCAGAATTAGAAGATGCGATCGCTTGACGTTTCGAATTCTGTCGTGAACCCTTCATCTGAATAGTGTAATACATATACAGATAGTGGTGATATATGCACAGATTGCGCAATATTTTTAGTTCGTAACGGCCACCTGCATGCGAACTATAATGCTCAGCTCCCGTACTCACCACTGAGGGTCGTAATTAGTACGAGGATGACTTGACCGTCCGCTTCCGAATCATCAACTGCAACAATTTTTTATGTGTCTTGGAGGCGGGCTTGATAAATAGTCCACAATTATGTTCTATGTCGTCGGAATTGTTGCTGGGCCCGGCTCTTCCATTTGCCTGATTCTCCTGCTAAGAAAATGTCTCAATACGGAGTATGGGAGCGGTAAATGGTTGCACTTGTTGATTGACTGCGGGCCTGAGAAACATGACTCGAGCAGCTCGCGGCTCACGCGGTTGCCACTTCTTGCGATGATTTCGACCTGGTTAAACTTGAAAATATGGCCTGATCCCGTTGAATGAGCTGCAACCTAGGTGTAAGCGTCTTTATTCTTCACCGCTGTTGCGTGCTCAGCCATTCGCGTCCGAAGTAATCTACCGGTTTCCCCGACGTATTTGCTTTGTCCACAACTGCACCAGATCCGGTAAAAGGCTCCAGCCGTTTCTTGCCGTGACAGTGGGCCTTTCGGTCTCATGATCCGGCGCCTAATACTTTCTTTTGGTTTGTGCGCAACTCCAACTCCAAGTGAAGTGAGAAGGCGGCCGACTTCGTCCGATGCATTCTTCACGTACGGAAGAGCTTGTCAAACTTTTGGAGTAATT